GTGTCTTAACTCTCTGAAAAGCATCAAACAACAGAACTCTCTGACACTCTATTCTATACTATACTTTCACTATTCCGAAAATCTTTATTATGAAAATACATTTGAAGATATCCTAGGCATACTTCGAGTGTTACAGCGGCATTTAAAATTTTGACTGATGAGATGATCACTATTAGGTACTTAATTGCATAGTCTAACAAGCAAACAACAAAAATGCCTCAATTTGTTGTGTAATCAAGGTGTCAGAAACAAACAATTTAAAAAAGTAACGAAGCCTCAGACGATGATGACGACGGAAAAGAAGACAAGAATGAGAATGGGGATCGACAGCTGTCATCCGACTGGTTGCCTGCTGTCTGTGGAAGGAACATCTCATTCTAGGTGGTCTCTGCCACTCGCCTCTTCTATCGCAGAGAATCGCGAAGATTTATAGACTCAGAGAGTTTTCGGAGAAGAGATGCTGATTTTATGCAAGATTTTTTATTGCCGTTGTCGAAATGTCATTATAAAATGTCAGGAAGACAAATACATCAGTTGGTTTTTGTACGACGGTAACACGAAACTAAACAGGGTAATTCAGTTTGGTAAACGTACCCCTACATAAAGCACAGCATGGAGTTTGAAATAAAAATGTTAACTCTTAACCAGCAAACACAGGTAGGGGTCTGTAGAGCTCACAGTGGAGTATAGGAGTTGATATTGGGGTAATGTCACCTAACGAAATTGTAGAAAATTTTTACATGTACAACAAGAAAAATTGTTCAAATTAACAAAAGAGTTCGTAAATTCACAAATATTTCCTAATGGTACTCGTTATTGATCCTACTCAACCGCAGAAATTAGTTGAAGATTCCAAAGAGAATTTTTCAGGAAAAATATTGTCTTTTTATTATTCTTAGTCTTTCTATGTTGAGAACGAGAACACATTCTTTTCCGAAATATCTGAAGATGAGTGAAAATTTGATACTTTTCCTATATATATCTGATTCCTTTCCTCCAAACATTCTCCAAATCAAAATGACATTTTCAAAGGCGCAGTTATGAATTTTGAGGCAAATCCTCTGCTTTGTCCATACTGTACAGAGTGTGCAAAATTGCCGATATCGTTTTTATGTTGGGGAATATTAGAAATTATCGAAAGTTCATTCATATAGTATGGTGCGCACAATCCATTGGCATCATTAGAAATTTAAAACCGGGTTACATTAGAAAGATTCGGCAGCCAATTATATTTTTTCTTATGGAACACCCTATATATTTCAACTTCAAATATATATGTGACTCTACCTCTTTCTTCCACAATTCCAAAAATATCCGTAAAAATATATTCAGTGTGTCACATTTTTCACGGTTGCACCTCCGTATCTACCGCAATAATCATTGAGGTTGGATTCATAAATTCACAACTGTCTATAGCTCTAGTGAAAACACTGCTCGCCAGCAGCTATGGAATCATCAGCATATCTGGAAAATGCTCTCAAAAGGAAGGATATTGGTTGAAAATGATGAGTCTGTATATATTTACCAAAGGAGGAAAATAAATGTCAATGAAATATCAATTCAAATATTTCATTTCCAGACAATTGAATATTTGATAAGGAGAAAAATTAGAAATTATTTGATTCGATATCATTATATTCTTATTTTTATTATTAGGATTGCCTTTAGTGCGCTCCAAGCGATAAAAAAACAGAGACATATCTCATAATCCGGTTTGCCGCTGGAATTGAAATATATCGGGTGGCGTCTCAAGGTACAGGAAGGGGTATTGTGAGGTATTGTACAAGTCGAATGAATTTCTGTGCTTTTCATCAATGAAAATGATTATTTCATTCACACCCGGCTGGACCAATGGAATGTCATGATTGAAGTCACATGATATGCGATATCAGCGGCTATTTAGGTAAACAAACAATATGAGCGGCTATTCTGTTCGCCAGCATAAGAGTGCTATGGTTGTCAAACTTTGACATACCTATCAGTTACTCAAAAATGAAATGTCTGGTTTTGGGTCAACTTCCACTACGGAAATTCGTCATTATGTGAGTGAATCGATACCAGAAAATAACAAGGAGAGTAAAGAGTCTGTCTGGAACAATTTGTGTTTTTTTGCCAGCAGAAAAACTATGAATTTTGTGCAACTACCCCATCTCTCATGATTGCCCAAATCCTGAAAGATTGGGTGAGGGGAATGGTGAGGAATATTAGGAATACACAGTTGAAATTAATATGGAAAACTATATACAGGAAGGTTACTGCAATGAACATAAACGTAAGACAAATCCATTTGAATATATCGAATTTAACGGTGCCAGGGTAGCGCATAATGCAAAAAAGCAAAGCCTACAATATTTTCCTCAAACAAGAAAGGGAAGTACAGAAGCTCTAATCAAAGAATATTAACGCTATCAATAGCGTCAATATTCTTTGCTCTAATTTTAGATGAATTCATTACAATTGTACGTAGATATGATGAGAATACCCCAGACGGCCTTCAGAAGAATTTTTATTCAAATAGTGTCTGCAGGATTGTAACTTAAATAAAATGTTGACACTCAATTTTTGCATTGTTCATGAAATAATCTTCCTGAATATCACTCGACCATGACAAATGGAGACTATTATTTTCGTTAATTCATCTCGAGTAACTTGTATTTTGGGACAATTCAATTCGACCATATGAACATAAATAATCATAGAATAACTCCCTCGAGCTGTAGCTCTCGGGAGTTATTCAGATTATTAATGTTCATGTGGTCTCATCAAATTGTCAAAATACAAAGTACTCTCGATAGAATTATGACGAAAATAATAGTCGACTATTTGTCATGGTCTCGGGATATTACCTGCGAATATTTGAATCTGATATCCATCTGAATTCACTTTATATTCATGAACGAATCTGATTGACAAACATGATGTCACGCAGTGACGTATTTCACAAATATATCAATTATCCCAGGTTTTGAAGATGAATAAAAAACAACGACCTTTCATGAACAAACCTCTGAGGTTTAAGCAAATTGAGATGTTGAACATCTTCAAATTTCTTTCCTGCAAAGTTTAAAAACCTGAGATACGTCACTACGTGAGATGACCGTCGATATGATGACATCAGTCTGTCACTGAGAAGTGTCATACTATGGAACACTTGCAGAGAATAATCTTCCACATTTTCATGTCGTAAACGGGAGCAGATTCATTCTCGAAACATCTAAAGATAAAAAAAAATTCGATTTTTTCTTTCTTCAAACATCTTTCGAAACAAATTGTGACTGACAAACGATTGGACTTTTTTTACATATTATATTTGTTTACGGCAAGTCAATTTTGAGATTATATAAAATGAATACACATTACAGTAAATTCAATGAAATAACTAATTGATGAATTGAAATCGTTGAAACCAGAAACAGTATGAACCATGTTTGAAATGTCAGAAATTTTGGTCAATGAACACTGAGCCTTGTGGTACTTCATATTGTCACGAGTAGAACATACGGTATATCAGAAATTTCTAACCATGAGGGTTTTATAAACATGAAGTTCGTCATCCGTTGACATTGACTTATAAAAACTGACCAAGGAACTCTCATGAGAAACGTGCAAATCTGAAAAATTGATGTATATAAATATTGCATGTGAGGGTTCCGAAGTTAGTCTGGTCTGGGGCTACTCTTGACTTGACAAGAGCTCGTCGTAATGGTCATTATAATGTAAGTTATTGTTAGGTCTTTATATTCATTGTTGTTTATTCATATTTATCACAGCCCATAATGTTTAATGCTTCAATGAATATTGTTATGTGTGAATTTGGTCTCATACTTTCAGCTACCCCTAAACTATTAGTGCCTATTCGAATATTACCTCTCGCAAATTATTAAGCCAAGCATTACCCCTTATGAATCGATAATGGTGGAGTAACCATATTGTTTCTGATTACTCAAGTAATATCTGAAGAAATCCAGTGGCAATCCCCTGATTCCAAAGAAGGAGAATGTTCAAACGCAGTGACATTTTAGGAAAATTCATCTGATTTGTCTCACTACCATCATAGATTAATGACTTCCTACTATACTATATTGAAATAATACTCATATTTTTATTTGATAAAAACGAGGAGAGAAAATCGCAAATGAGGTACACTTTTCTGAACTACATTTTTCTCAGAATACAAGAACTATTCGTTTTGTTGCAATTCTCAAACAAGGTTTCACTTTCCCCATCAGAAATTTCAGAATTGTCAAGAGCACCTGGTGTGTTGGTAGGTCAGCAGCATGACATCTCCGAGTTTTGGGGTCTCTAACAGAACAAACTACAAGATCAAGAGAACAATTCCAAATTATCATGTGATTTCTCTGAAGAGGAAGGAGAAGTTATCACGACGCTAGTGCAAATTTTTTTCAGCAGCAAGGTGTTGACTGTTTCACGATGTATGGGGTGCGGAACGGAGAGCGACCATGTTGATCTATTAAGAGAGCTGCAACTGTCCTTCCCCAACACCAACTACTCTGAGATCCAGACCGTGCAGTCGCTTCTGGACTACCTCTTCGAGCCAAAGAAATTGACAGCAGCCAACCAATGCTATTGCGAGATGTGGAGTCGATAGACCGTCAGAAAATACTCAACCAAGATCATGGAGGCGTCACTACGATCAATTTTAACTCTGAAACTCTTCTGGTACGATCCTTCCTCGCACCAGAGTATCAAGGCAACATTTCGTATGTCTTGCCGAGCATCTCATCACCGACAGCCGGATTTACCAGCTTTATGTGGTTGTAGTCCACTGCGGCTCAAGTGTCGATAGCGGCTTTTATTACACCATCTCCAAGAACAAGAATGACTGGTACCAGTTCAATGATGGCTCCGTATTAAGAACTTCGTCTAGAAAGCTATCCCACATGAGATTGAGCGAAACGCCATGCTTCCTTTTTTAAAGTCGTGATGATAAAGCGAAGTGGGAGAGCCATTCTCCTACTCCCCTCCCTCTTAGACCACAGATGATTTTGGATCTGGTCAATCTTGAATTCAACCAGTTTCAGCAAGAACAGCAGCATAGCCTAGCAGCGACAGATAATGAGGCAGCAGCAGCAACAGCAGTAACATTAGCAGCAGCAGCAACAAGTCAGGCCTGGTACCAGTTCAATAATGACTCTGAAACGCCAAACATCCTTTTTTATAGCCGTGATGATGAATCTGAGTGGAAGAGCCTTTTTTACCCCCTCCCTCCTAGACTACAGATGATTTTGGATCAACCAGTTTCAGCAAGAACAGCAGCATTGTCTAGCAGTAACAGAGGATAAGGCAGTAGCAGCAATAGCAGTTTAGCACCAGCAACAGCAGTAGGTACTATTAGCAGCAGCATCAACAAGGCAGGCCTCAGGGCGGACAGCCTTCTCAGGCGCTGGTGGCTCACCTGCCAAGACAGCAGATAAATCCGATACAGTATCATCAGTCCCCGCCCAGATAGCACAAATACCTCTCGAGGCCCTTCTGAGGCGTTCACAATAATGTCCTCAGGACGTCGAGGGCGAGCCTGACGACGTCCCTAGCTCGTCCTCCTGTTACCGTTCTCTAAATCCTAATAAGGTATTAGAACATCCTTATAAGGTCCTCTGGGACATGTTTAGGGCATTATGGGGACATTTTTAGGTAGTCTTGAAAAATGTCTAGGGATAGGTTGATAAAAATGAAATTTTATTGAAAAAAAATATTCACATCATGATATTTGCGAAATTTCCCTGGAATAATAATATGTTCAAATAAAACTTACATCCTATTATTTATAACTTATTGGTGAAGATTCTCGAGTTTCGTTTTGAAAAAATGTATCTCAGCTTCTTGTTGAGTACAGTGTGTCCAGTTTTCGATGCTTTTATGTAATATCTCAGTTATCTTTCGAGATAGAACCTTGCGGGTTTCGCGGTGGTGTGCCACTTTTTTGTGAAACTCAAGATGGCCTAATCAGATTTTGCATAACTGTTTCCGTTTATGAGATACAGGGCGATTTTGAAAATTTATACTTCTTGGACCCCCTCTTTATCTACTTTGTTTCTCAGCGAGAATGTCAAATTTGAATCTCATCCCATATGAAAGTTTACGCAGAATCCAGTGGCGCACTCAACAATTTTTTTTCTGGGTATGGTTTTGAAGATACGACTCAAACTTATGATTTTTTAAATGGAACACCCTGTATTTTATAAGCTCATGAAATTCCTCATTCTTTTCTCTCCAAAATGATTCATAATGTATGTATATGAAATTATCGAAAATGCTCTGAAATCACTGAAACATTGAATTTTAATAGTGGGCTATGGATTTTTCTTATAAAAAAGTTCCAATTGAAGGAATATTCATTCTGATTGTTCCATAAAGAGGAAAAAAACAATACCAACACTAATTAACTGAGAAAACACACAAATTATGTACCTGATAGCAACAAATAAATAGTAATGAAAAGTTCATAATGTAGAATAAGCACCAGATTAAATATTTACAAATACAATTGAATTTCGGAATTATTCAATAACTTTATTCACTGAATTGTTCAAATTGATGTCCATTCCCCATAACACACAATCGTCACAGTTTCTCAATACGTCCTCATACAGTAAGAGTCACAAATATCTTGAAGACCTTCGTGCAACAACAGAGGCAGTTTTCCAGGAATTACAAAGACATCCTTTAATGATTTTGAATGCATTAAAAGACGTATTGAGAAAGCGTGTGAGGGAAACTGGACATCAATTTGAACAATTCAATGAATAAGTTACTGATTAATATCGAAATTCAATTGTCATAGTGAATATTAAATCAGGTGCTTATTCTAGAATATGAACTTTTTATTACCATTCATTTTTGTGTTATCTTAATTAACTAGTGTTGTGATTATTTTTGTCATTCTCATGGAAGAATCAAATGAAATATTCCTTCAATTGGAACTTTTTTTAAAAGAAAAATCCATAGCCCACTATTAAAATTCAACGTTTTAGTGATTTTGGAGCATTTTTCAAAATTTTATACCTATTCATCATATTTCATTTTGATGGGGAATAAATAAGGAATTCAATGAGCTTATAAAATACAGGGTGTTCCATTTGAAAAATCATAAGTTTGAGTCGTATCTCCGGAACCATACCCAGAAAAAAAAATTTGAGTGCGCCACTAAATTCTGCGCAAAATTCTGTATGGGATGAGATTTCAATTTGACATTTTCGCTGAGAAACTTCGTAGATATAGAGGGGGTTCAAAAAGTATGAATTTTCAAATTCGCCCTGTATCTCATAAACGGGAACAGTTCTGCAAAATCTGATAAGACCATCTTGAGTTTCACAGAAAAGTGATACAAGACCGCGAAAACCGCAAGGTTTTATCTCGAAAGATAACTGAGATATCACGGAAAAGCATCGAAAACTGGACACACTGTACTACTAGAAGTTGCCCATTGGTAATATTACTCTATGTTGTTTTTGATTTCTCAACTCTGGATATGCTTCCTAATGCTGCGAATCTACTAAAAGTTGAAGCCTTCATACAATATTCAATAGATGACATCAAGTTTGTGTTTTCCATAACCTTCTGAAACAAACAATGATTCAATATATCATATCCATGTAATATCTATGATTTGATCCACCTACCTTTGTTCCTTTCTTCCTCAGAGAATAATCATCATCAACATAATAATACATTATGATGATTTTTTTTGTTCTGATTATGTTGTAAGTTCTCTTCTTGTTATCATTTGTGATTTCTGAACCCTGGACATACTATCTGATGCTCAATTTACTGAAAGTTCAAGCCTGCATACAATCTTTTATAAATTCGGAAGAAGCCAAAATATATTTGATTTGAAAATTACTGCTCAAAAGTTTGTGTTCTCAATAACCTTCTGAAATGAATAATGTATTATAATTTCATGTCCAGTACCTGCCTATACTATCAATTTTTTGATTCAGATACCAACCTTCATTGAATCTACTAAGAGTTCAAGCCTGCATACAATCTTTTATAGATTACGAAGGAGCCAAAATCTCTTGGAATGAACATCTCTGCTCTGATAATATGATATCAAGTTTGTGTTTTCTATAACTTCCTGAAACAAATAATTTATTGATATTTTATGTCCAGTAGGTAAACCTACTATCAATATGATTTGATTACTACCTAGTACCTTTATTGTATCTATACTGAGAGTAAAAGCCTGCATACAATCTTTTATAGATTCCAAAGAAGCGAAAATATGTTGGAATATCAAACATCTCTGATCTGATGATATAATGATCAAGTTTTTGTTCTCATCAATAACCTCCTGGAACAAATAATAATATATTAATACTTCATGTCCACTACCTATTATCAATGAGTTGATTCAGGTAGGTACCTATCTTTATTGAATCCACTGAAAGTTCAAGCCTTCATACAATGTTTGATAGATTCCATAGAAGCCAAAATATCTTGGAATGAAACATCTCTGCTCTGATGATATCATCAAGTTCGTGTACTCAATAACCTCCTGAAATGAAATAATATATTCAATATTTCATGTCTAGTACCTACTATCAATGATTTGATTAATTAATTACATGTATTTCATATTATCTGATCAATTTTTCAGAGAAATATTATCATGGGACATAACCTATCTTCTAGTATTTCTAGTTGTCTTCTTCTTCTCCTTCCTTTTGGCTTCGTCGACACGTTATTTCATGAAATGTCATCTGAAGATATCCGTAGGCACGACATCCCCTGCAGTCTCAGGCTGTCACTGAAAGAACGTTTCTAGGACAATTACGGCGCTAAATCTACGCCTGATGATGTTCTTATAGGTTGTAGAAAACATAACGTCCTCTCTAGGCGTTTGGCGACACATTGAGGATGACCCTAGGCGATTGTATGCTATCTGGGCGCCGTATACCTAATACTCATCAGGGTGCGTGAACGTGATTGATCGTACTCTGATTAGCTGTACTCATAATGGATGTTCAGTATTGAAATGAGAAATAAAATGTTCAAGAGTATACTTCGGTTCAGCCGTTTATGAAATATTGAAGGTCGAACATATCGAAATTAATTAACTTTTTTTTTATGTTCTGGTTCTAACGAAAAAGGATATCCTGTAATGTTCAGAGAACATCGTGAGAACCAAGGGAAATGAGGTAGGAATTGGTGTTCTTCTTAAATTTCTGGAGGTTATATGCCTTACGGAACACCTCCTTTGGCAATGTGTTCCAGAGCCTCGCTGCTCGTTGGATGAACGAGTCTTCGGAAAGAGATGTTCTGTAGGTCTCCAAAGTGACCACGAAGGGGTGCGAAGCCTCAACTCGACGGGTTATTCTCGCAGGGACTGCTATTGTTGATATTTCAGACGAGCATCGTCTATGAAAATATTTGGGCGCCGCACTCCAAATATGGGAACAGTATTCCAGGACAGGTCGGATCTGTGCCTCATAGATCATAAGCAGCTGACTAGAAGTGAAATAGCTCCTGGACCAAAACAGAAAACCAAGTTCGAGAAAAAACTAGCTACCAGAGAACATAGCTGGGGAGGGAAGCCATAAGATGGAAGCTTGGCGAGGAGTACGTGGTGCCAGACTCGATCGAATGCTTTGGAGATATCAAGTGTCACGGCTGAGGTTTGACCATATTTTTCAATAGATTGCTGCCATATATGTGAGACGTAAGCGAGCAGGTCACCAGTTGATCTCTGATGACGGAAGCCATATTGCCTATCGTTGATAATGCCTGAATGTTCCAGGTATTTCATAAGCTCGATGTTAGCTTCCTCCATGATCTTTGAAATAATAGATAGCACTGCGATCGGTCTGTAGTTGCTAGGTAGGGGTTTTTGGCCTTTTTTAGGAACTGGTTGTACTCTTGCAATTTTCCAGTTGGACGGGAATATCCCCAATTTGTAAGAGTTGTTGAACAACTTGCAGAGAACAGGTGTAAGTTCTGGAGCATATTTATTGAGAACAATCGGTGGGATTCCGTCGGAGCCACAAGCTTTGTTGGTGTTGAGTCCCAATAAAATCTTCCTTATAGTAAGTTGGCGAAAGGTGATCTCAGGTATATGAGCGTATTGGCGTTATGTTTGGAGGTTGTTTTCCCGATGAATCCAGAGTGGAATTTCCAGCAAATAAATGCGCGAAAGTTTTGGCTTTCTCCTGGGCAGTAGTGGCTAGTGTTCCATCTTCCTTGGTTAGAGGAGGAAACGAGCTGGAAGTGAAGTTTGAAAATTAAATCTTTCTTATGAAAAGTAACAGTAGAAGGATCCGTTCCACCCTAGTTTTGGGATCATCAT